ACGGAGGGGGAGAGGGAATCACCTTGTTTAAGACCTTGAGATGAGGAGAAAAAATCATGCCTAGACCCATTAATTATGATCGAATACCACACATTTGAAATTAAGCTATGAACCATGTCTGTCCAATGATTAGAGAACCCAAATTTTCTTAACACAGAAAGGACAAAGGGCCATGACATTCTATCACAGGCTTTAGCCATATCTAACTTAATGACAATATTCCCACCCTTGTTCTTATCGGAAATGTTGTAAATAATTTCTTGAGCTAATAACACATTTTCATAGATTAGCCTATCCTTCACAAACCCAATTTGATTAGGAGAAACTAATTTATGCAATACAAGGTAAGCCTTAAAGAAAGAATTTTTTAAATGATTTTGTTAAAGAAGTTAGACAAACTAATTGGTCTAAAATCTGAAAAACTAGAAGGAGAATCAATTTTGGGAATCAAAACTAAGCAAGTATGAGAGAAAAATTTAGCCAGGCCTTTTCCTCTGAAGACCTCTATCACAAAAGCAACAACATCTTTTCTGATGATTTCCAGCAACTGTGATAGAATGCTCTGTTGTATCCATCTGGACTAGCAGTGCTATCAGCACTAAGGCTCATAACAATATTTTTGATTTCCTTTTTATCTGGCATCTGATTGAGATTAGCGTTGTTCTGCTCCGTGATACATTTTGGAATACATTCCAAAATAGAAGGATTGAAATTTGGCTTAGGTAGATTGAATTGTGCCTTGAAGTGTCTGACTGCAGCTTTAGGAATGCTCTCATCCCCCTTAATCCAATTACCCTCGTGATTTTTGATTCTGTTTACCTATTGCTTCCTCTTTTTTTCCCTGAGCATGCATTGAAAATACCTAGTATTCCTGTCACCATCTTCAAACCATTTTATTCTCGACTTCTGTTTAAGGAGGGATTCTTGAATGCTAAGCCATCTTATATATTCAACATGGGCCCTATGTACTTTACTCTGCTCAATTCAGTATTATCCTCAATGTTCTTATCCTCTAAGGATTGTAGTTTCTCTTCCTAGTTGTTAACAACATCATGTATGTCCCCAATGTCTTCCCTGGACCATTGAGTTAACCTTTTACTGAGAGTCTTCAATTTAGTTTGAAAATCCACGAAGGATTACCCTTAACATTGGCACTCCAACTATCCTCGACAATATTGAAGAAACCAGGCAGCTTGATCCAACAATTGAGGAATCTGAAGTATCTAATACAATTGTGATTAGAGGATAAATTCTTCATGAGAAGAGGTCTATGATCAGAACCGATTCTTGCTATATGCCTAATAGAGCATCACTGGAACAGAGTGTCCCACATGTCATTCACAAAAACTTTATACAATCTCTTTCAAATCCTCTTCCTTGGTCTCATGTTGTTGCACCAGGTGAATTTTGGCCCAGAGTAACCAATATCTGTAACACCACAATTATCCATACAATTTTGAAAATCGGTGCTTTTGTACATTCTATGAGGTTTACCCCCTAATTTTTTCATTTGGATCAAGGATCACATTAAAATCACCCCTGATACACTAAGAATCATTCACGATAGCACTATCCTGTTGCAAAGAGGACCAAAGATCTCTTCTTTCTACAGAATTACACTTAGCATAATTCACCGTAATAAGAATATCTTGATTGCTAATGGCCTTCTCCAATCTGATAGTTACATGTTGATCACTTTCTGAGAAGATCTGATTGTTGTTGAAAGAGTTCCAAAAATACCATATTTGACCGTTACCATTTGAGTGGTAGTATTGAAATCCTAAACATCTCTTGTAGCCATCTACCTTCTCTTTCGAAATAAAAGGTTCGAAGATATCCATGAAATAAATGTTGTTGATGTCAATAAGTTTTTTAAGCCTATGAATGGCTTTTTTGAATCACACTCCCCTTATGTTCCAGAATATTGCACTGATCATAAGAACAATTTGGGGTGTTATCCTCTTTTTGTTTCCTCTTCTGTGAAGGATAGTTTCTGTTTCATTGACTTTTGATACTTTTTCGTGTTTCACTTCTCCCTCTTCTACTAGTATTTAGATTATCATCTCTCTGACTTTCCGAGAGCTCTTCTATGTCTTCATTCTCAGTGTCACTGCCTCTTTGGAATTCATGTTGAATCTGCTGGTATTGCCTTCGTTTACCTCATGTTCCCATTCTTTGCCATCCAAGTCGACAACTAAGTTTATACCTGGTAAATTTCTTATTTCTGATGGGACAGTAGAGGTGTTTGAGTCACAATGAACATGTTTGTTATTCTTTTCTGCCTTGCCTTCTTCCTTCCTGTTAGTCTCCTTATCTTGTGAGGACTGTTTACTCTCCTCTATTTGTATGTTAATAGCCATCTTCATCTCTTGACCTTCTATTCTACCAATTCCAGTAGAAGTATTCTGCTTCCCTTATCCTGTACATTTAGAGCTTTTGGATTTTCATGAATCTGCATATTGTCCCTAATTTCTGCTAATGATTAATTATTTTGTTTGCTTGTCGATATAGAGACAGTATTCTTCTTACTATTGTTCTGGTCATGTTTTAACTTGACTTTGCTTTTTCTTCTTTGGCATCTTTTTGGCTTTCTTCTTTTAGTTTTCTTCTTCATACTTTTCTCCTCCTTGTTTTTGATGATCTTATTATCGTCTAGGCTATCTTCCTGTTGTTTTTTTCCAATGTTGACACTGTGTGAATCTGCTTGAATTGTTTCCTCTCTGCTTTCACTGTTGTTTCCCGTCATTTTGTTCATTGATTGTGCATCCTCCTCATACTTGGTAATCTCATCACCTTCACCCTCTTCCTTCTCTTGAACAGTCTTTTTCTTTTCTATAGCCCTATAATTGACTATGTAGTGACCCAATTTCCGATAATGTTTATAGTACTTCGGCACACCTTCATATTCTAATTTTTGGGTATAATCTTTTAGCGGTGGTTCATCAAACTCGTGTCCCACAAATATACTTTGTGGTAACGGCTTAAGAAAATCGACCTCCATTCTAATTTTGGCCATACTTGGCCTAGTTCTTCCTAGTGTAGCAGCATATAGGGCAAATGGAGTACCAACAGAGCTCAAAAGCTGCTTAATGTAATGCCAATCGTGCATATGAAATGGTAAGGCGGGCAGGAGAACCCAGGCTGGAGCGACTGTTAAGTCCTCCTCTGGCTTGAAGTCCGGCGACCACTTTTGTACCGCATTTGCATTCCATCTATTTTAATTACCCTTCGGAACCATACTGCTTTCCAGTTGTCTTCATTAAAGAGATCAATGAAGACATTATGATTATTATATATCCCTATTCTAACCGTCCCCTTTAAGAGAATAATTTCCATAAATCTTGACCTAATTCGATCAATTTGGGGGTGTGATCTAAGAAATCTACCCACAATTGTATACTTACAAGAATCTGCCATTATGCCATAGTAGTCCTTAGCTTTGAAAATACCGCCGGCATGTCGTTGTGAGTCGTGCATCTTGCAATAACTTTTTCTTTTCCTTGCTGGTTTGAACTTGGGTTGGAGATCTGAGAAGATGAAGATAGGGCGCTGATAGTGTTAGCATAGGGTAGTTTTTCTTGTTTTGACTTCTTTGGGAGCTATTTCGCCCGATGGGGGTGATAGAACCACCGTATGCGCCGGCGGGATGCCTCCCGGCAGCTCCATCTTGTGGAGCGTGACTCGTACGCGTTGGAACAGGGGAGATAAAGAGCCGTTGTAGAGAGAAACTTTTTAGAGAGAGGATTTTTGATACATTGCTATTTTGACTTATTAGTTATCCATTTGGTTAATCATTTTCTAAGTGGATAATATGGTTTTTATTCATATTCCACCCATTTTTAAAAATATCCAACCCATTTTTTAATGGATAATATGGGTGGATAACTGTTTTCTTTTAGTAAAAATAACACGGGCTATCCAGTTTTTGTACTGGCCATTCAAAAATAGTCAGGGCTACCCAAGTCATTGAAAAATAACCACTATTTGGCTGCAACAAAGACCGGACCAGTATAATATACTGGAGTTCGGGGCACCTATGTATGAACTTCCAGCATATTATGCTGGAACTCCAACACGCAGAAAGCTCCAGCATAATATACTAGAGATTCGAGCACCTGTGTATGAACTTTCAGCATATTATGCTGGACCGTTATACTTTGCTGGAACTCCAGTATATTATACTGCAATTCCAATATATTATGTTGAGTATTTTTCGGATTTTGAACAGTGTTTTCGTTTAGATTTATCTTTACATGAAAAGTGGCTAAATTTCGTATAAAGCCCACTTGACGAGATTAGATCGAATTTTTTTTAAAATAATTTTGGATTGATAGGAAGTGGCCCCCTCCTAGACTACAAGCTAGCGCGCAATGGCTGAAAAGCTGAGGAAAACCCTATGAGTCACTGAAACGACAGTTGGAATGCTCTTTTTCTATGAATAGAAGGAGAAAATTTCATAGACTCTAAAATATGCTCCATTATTATTATTTCCTGTACCTTTTTTTTTTCTTTATTCTTTTAGGGGTAGGAGGGGTAGGGGGAGGGGAGCAGGTAGTGGTAGTGGGGGAGGACTAGATCATGTTAATCAATTATCCTGACTCTAAATAATTATCAAAACACCCTCTTAATGACCCTCATCCAGCTTAATAATAGCAATTAAATCAAGTGGATCAGTTGTTAATCCTTTTTTCTAATCTCATCCCTAGTGGACAAAACCCTAAAAAAGCTCCTAAAATCTAGTAATACTCAGCCTCAGCATTCCAACTTATCACAGAATCATTTCTCGCTTGTCATCTTCTTTATTCAAATTAATAAGATTTAAGTTATATATACTGACAGTATAAAAATAATTATACTATAAATGAATTTTAATCTGTGTTAGCAGATTAGTTGCCATCTTTATCAGCTTAAAATTAACCAGTTAATGCGTATCACGAAATTTGCCTATATTTTTCTAATCAGTGTGTATAACTTAAACTCGTCCAATTATATCTCTCCTATTTCTCTTTCTTCCTTAAGTTCCAAGAGTTTCCCTTTAACGGCAATCATTGAAAACATAAATATAGCTGTTCCGCTCACTAACCCTACTTTATACTAAAAATATCTACACTATATTTATACATATCAAAAGGACAACATAAATCTCGACTTTAGATGGATTTGAAGATTCAAGATCATGAGAAATTAATCTCAATCAAAGTTGAAGTTGAATCATTATCATTAGAAACTAATGATTCCATTTCTAAGGAAGAAAAACACTATATAGGCGTCCGAAAACGGCCATGGGGAAAATTTGCAGCTGAAATTAGGGATTCAACAAGGAATGGTAGAAGGGTTTGGCTTGGAACTTTTGATACTGCTAAAGAAGCTGCTTTGACTTATGATCAAGCCGCGTTTTGCATGAGAGGTCCTTCAACTTCTTTGAATTTCCCCGTGGAAAAAGTGCGCGATTCGCTACAAAAAATGGAATGTAATAACCTAAAAGATGGATTGTTGTCACCAGCAGCAGCCCTAAAAGAGAAACACAAGAAGAGAAATAGTAGTAATTCAAGAAAGAAGCAAGTGAATATTATTAAAGAAGAAGAGAATGTGTTTATATTTGAAGATTTAGGTCCTGATCTATTAGATGAACTCTTATCTGAGTATTCCTCTTGTTCAAATTAGTCTACTATTTTCACATCTGTAAGTAAATCTTGTACTTCTCCTTTGTTCATGGTTTAATTTACCATTCTTTTTATTTGGTTCTCGTCTTCTAGCCAATGTTTCTTTAGCTGAGGGTCTATCGGAAACAGTTTCTCTGCCCGTTCAGAATAGGAGTGCGTACTTCTCACTCTCCCCACACCCCACTTGTGAGAATAAACTGGGCCGTTGTTTTTGTTGTTGTTTCTTGCCAATATACTGTTTCCCTCTTTTAATTGAAAGGATCCAAGATCCTATAATTCACTCTCTTTCAAACTTGTTTGGTACCCTAGACTAGAACTTAGTTCAGAGGCGTATATAGCATATAATCAATGGATTTAACTGAGTTCAATGTTTTGACAAATAGCATAGATATATTCGTAAAAAATCACTAAACTTTCAACAAAAATTAAATTCCGAACCCATGATTGTAAAAGTGTAATGGATTCAATATCAAAAACCTAAAGGTCGAACAAATTTAAAATTTATATGTTGGATCCGCTTGTGCAGTCAGTATTGCTGTTTCTTTCTGTTGCCTGTTTATCAAATATGATGTGTTAAATTTATCAGAAAGAAAAAGAAAAAGAAAAAAAAAACACTTCATTTTCCATTAAAAGTTTGACATCTAACTGTTGTGTGATAAAAATTTAGAAATATTATTATTACATGTAAAAGGTTGTGGTCTGTAGGAATTTGGAAGTCACTATCTTCTACTTTAACATTGAGGCTCCCACATACTCAAGTATTTCAACCACACAAAAATTATTATGTTGATTCATTTTTAGATTGTCAAGTGGCTGATCAATGTATCTATGTATCAAACTATTTAAAGCTGAAATTGGTATTGGATTATTGCTAATTTCATAAATTTAGTCATGAGCTATGCATCTTTTTCTTTGGCATTCTAATTAGTACTTCAATTTATTTGGTATTGTTTTGAGCACTTAATTGATTTATGCGTTTAATTGATTCAATATATGAACTCAGTTCAAGGATAGAGGATTCCAATCACAATCCGAGATTGTGTGTTAAGTATCCCACGTTGGTGGAGGAAATGAGTTGTTATCTTCTTTTATAGTGTTGGAGTTATGTTAGACTTAATGTTCGTTTGTTATTATAGTATCGGTTGGGCGTACGAACAAAGTCTCATATTGGTGGCAGAGAAGATTAGTATGTACCTACGTATAATACGTAGGGATGCCTTTAATGGTGTGAGGTTTCAGTAAGGCCTTGCGGGAAAACTATATGAACTTGGCCTGGAGCGGACAATATTACACCGTTTTAAAAGTATCTTTGGTTTGGTTGAGCCAACCCGTGCCACAGTTAGACTCATTCCTACTTTTTGGTTTACTCGGCGTTGAGTTTCTATGCTATGTTATCCACGTTCCAGATGTAAAATAGCTTACATTGGTGGAGGAAATGAGACTTTGAGGGTTGAGTTAAGCCCAGTATGCATTTCTTATCGGTATAGAATGCTATTATCCTTTGACAGTGATTTCAAATAAAATCCAATAATTTGGTGAAAGTATGAGAAGTTTTGGTGAATCTTTTGCTTTTAGGTAGAAATTGATTATCTCTATGCTTTTTGTGAGCCGAGTGTCTATCGGAAACAGTCTATCTACCTTTACAAGGTAGGGGTAAGGCTGCGTGCACAGTTTCTTTTTCAAACCACACTTGTAGAATTACAGTGGGTTTTTTGTTGTTATTTTTTCTTCTCTATTGTGTTTTAAACTTTCATGTTTTGTCACTCTATCTTGCTCTTTCAGGACTGTGTTCTGCTCCCTTTGTCTCATATATTTCCAGTTTCAGGAGAGATAAATTATGTGTCAAAAACTTTCTGCGTTGTCATTTTATGATATAGTAAGTATGAATATTCCTGTTGTATTTTATTTCACAATATATAAGGTACGTCCGTGATGGTACTGATATATTGTCTCCTTTTGTCTTTTCGTCTCCTTGAGTTGAGGGTCTATCGGAAATAGCCTCTATATTCCATCAGGTAGAGATAAGGTCTGCGTACACACTACTCTCCCCGGACTCCACTTGTGGGACTATACTGGGTCGTCGTCGTTGTTGTAATATATAAGGTACGCAAATCACCATCCTTTATTCCTTTTAAGTATAAATTCACTTTTGTTGTTGAATACTTTTTGCCTTCTCTTAAAGCTCTTTGATCAGGAAATTAAAGTTCTCTTTGAGATCAATCTGTTCAACTCTGATATCTAATCTGTAAGTATTTTACTTTCCTCCCTATTATTTTTTTTATAAGATAAGTTCTCCACAGCTTTAATTTATTATATATTGCTTTGTTTTCTTATTATGAGATCCTACATGAATCATATTTTGAGCAGAGGAGAACCAACAATGTGCTCTTTATGTCATCCTTTTTACTATGTAGGATAGAGTCGGCAGATTCAGAATGAGTGTGATTTTTTAGTATGTATATATTGTAAATCTTGTTTTTTATATTTATCTACCGGTCAAGCCAAAAGCACGGTAAAGTTATCTCTGTGTGTCCTGTAGGTCACGGGTTCAAGTCATGGAATCAATCACCGTTACTTGCTTCAAGGTAGAGTGCTTACATCACACCCTTGGGGTCCTTCCCTGTACCCTGCATGAACGCGGGATGCTTCGTGCACCGGATTGCTTTTTTTTTCTTTGTTTTTTTGGTCAAGCAAAAAGCATGCAATGGATTCATTTTAACGTTCATTGTACTTTGCTTTATGAGTTGTGATCGTGGAATCAGCCGCTTATGCTTATCAACATTGAACGATAATTTAGCTCGAGTAATTTGCATAATTTTATACTTGACATTATTGAAATGTTGTTATTTAACTCTTTGTTCTAATCGAGCTTGTGTTTACATTGCCAATTATACATATCCTATTCTGTATTTGACTGATTTATGTTTGTTTATAGGTTTGGATTATTATAAATGGCTAAACATGATGTGGATGAAGAATGCAGTTTCTGACAAACCTTTAAAGTATAATATAGAGAAGTTTTTAATGATTTATGATCTACTTCAGAGCTACCACTGCTTAACTGGTTAACATGATTTACAGGCCAATAAGCTACGACTACGAAACGAATTGGACCGGGTCCGTCGAATGGTTTCACTCCTCTTTTCCCCTTCTGTTAGTTCGTTGTCAATCAATCAACTCTCCTCCTCAAAAAATTGTCGAACTTCACGATTATTTATTCATATATGGGTAATTTTCGGTGGTCAGAGAAGATATCTCCATGAAAGCAGGAGGTCTTAAACATTAGATGTCTTTAAATATATACAACATTCAGTTCAATGATGGCAGGTTCCTAATTTTGGTTTTAACATGAGAATGCAACTCAAGCACAAGTTATATCTAGTCTTTAGGGGGGCACTTTAAACTATTTTTGTTACCGGTAAATGTTTTTCTCATCAGCCAAACATTGGAAAATAACTTACTTTTTTTTTATATGAAGTACCTCAGACAGAGGTCTGAGTGTGTTGTATTTCAAAAAATCTACAGTGAGGGGCACTTGACCTTACCTCAATAACGTAATACAACATGGTGATTTCTATCACCCAAAATACAGTAGGAGGTATACAAACTCCTCTCTACTGCCAGTGTATATATATACATAATCAACTAACAAAAAAGTTGCAGTTATCATATTTTGTTCTAATACTAGGCATTTATTATTTATCCAGAATGAAGGGGCCTTTAGCTTCCTTTGGTAGCTGACCGAAAGAGTGGCAGATCAACCTTGTATTGGAGGTGGAGGCTAGTTTAGCTAAGGCATCGACTACTTGGTTGCCCTCTCTGTAGCAGTGTTGAACAGTCGAATTTGCATTTTGGACAACTTTTATAAGCCTTTCCACCACCATCTTTAGTTTCATGTTCTTTGTTCCTCTTTGGTTGATCATGTTAACCATGACAGTTAAGTCTAGTTCGAGAGCAAAATTAGATAAACCTAATTGGTTGCACCATATTTCCCTCCAAACTTTGCAGCTAAGGCTTCGGCCATGTTGTTGCTATCACAATTAACAGGCGTAGCAAAGGTCATGATACAGTTACCATTCTCATCTCTGATTATCCCTCCTATGCCAGCTTTCCCGCTTTCCTATATGTAACTACCATCAGTGTTAACTTTGATAGTGTCATATAGATGAGGATGCCATTGAACTTGCTTCCAAGTTTGAACATGTCTCAACTTCTCTATCCTGCTGCATAAGTTAGGTCAGTGTTGATAGACGTCTCCATTCGGCATTAATTTGGAGATTATGGATTTGATAGTCCATATAACTTGATGTTTCATGAAGTTGAGATGAAATTTTTTCTTCGTGCCATATCTACAAGAGCTTCTCTGTTTCCAAATCTTCCAACATATGACAATTGGTGCTACTTGGAGAATCAAGCCATGAACTCTGTTCTTTGCTTATCCTTCCCACCAGTTTTTGAAGATGACAGGAACAGGGGCGTGTTGATGCCCAGTTCCCAGGGGGTTGCCCATTGCCTTCCAAATGAACATAGCTGCCTCACTTTTCACGAACACATGTTGCATAGTCTCAACCTGTGGGACACTACAGCAAGAGCATCTAGAAGCGATGTTAGTACCAAAGCTACCAATCATATCATCAAACGGGAGTTTCCTTTTAAGAAGTCTCCAAGTTAGGAAGGACATTTTAGAAGGGGTAGAATGATGCCAAACTTTCTTTAAGAAATCATTTTTTTTTCTTTTCTGATCTAATTAGGTGCCAAGCCGATTTGTTTGAAAACAGACCATCATCAGAAGAATTCCAAACAGGGAAGTCATCTTCCATATCATTACCTATATCAATTTTATTAATGCAATTAGTAATATGAGAAGGAAGAACTCGGTTTAACCTGTTGATGTCCCATTGCCCATTGTGAAATAAGCCATTTACTTGAGTTTTTGCAGATTTCCTAGTACCTTGATACAGGTGAGCTAGAGGTCCTTTACCAGTCCAATTATCCCACTAGAAGCAGAATGAACCATTTTGAATTTTTCAGTTAATGTGCATTTTGGCTTTACTCCTGGTCTTCAAAAGATTTTTCCAACTGCGAGAATCTGATGGGTTAAGGACTTTACTCATGGGATGAGGTCTCTTACAATACTTGGCTTTGAGAAAGGTGGCTCATAAAGAACGTTCCGTTCTAAACCCTTCCATCTTTTGATACTAAAGGTTTCAATCACATCTTGCATATTCCTTATACTAATGCCACCTTCATATTTGGGAAGGCACTTATTGTGCCAAGAGCTCCAATGGTATTTGTTCTCAACATTTGTAGATCCCTAGAAGAAATTCGCAAAATATTTTTCCATAAGGGTAACAGTACCCTTGGGAGGGGAGGGGGGGGGTTCATAGCTGACAGAATATAAGTGGGAAGCGATTGTAGAACATGCTTGACCAGAGTGATTTTTTCACCTGATGATAGAATCTTGCCTTGCCATCCATCAAGCCTTTTGACAATTTTAGCTAACATGCCCTCAAATAGGACAGTGTTCTTCCTCCCATGGTAGATAGGGCATCCCAAATAATTGAAAGGATACGTTTTATCCATGAAACCAGAAGCTTGTCTAATTCTATTGATCCTGGAGGCAGAGGTGTTGGGAGATGTAATGAAGTAACTCTTGTCATGTTGACTTTTTGTCCTGGGGCTTTTTCATAACTCTTAATTTGATTCTTGATAAGCTTGATGGACTGCTTATTTCCTCCCCAGAATATGACAATGTCATTGGATAAGTGGTTGATGTTGGGTCCTCTATTATTCATGTTGAATGAAGTGAAGTTGTCATATTCAAATAGTTTATTCAAAGATATGGACAACACTTCAGCACCAATGATGAACAAGGATAGGGACAATGGATCCCCTTGCTTCAAACCATGGGAAGAAGTAAAGAAACCTTTTCAATTACCATTGATAATAATAGAATACAGACATTGTTGAACAAACCCCAAATGATGTCAATCTATTCTTCGGAGAAATCATATTTCCTCATAACTGACATTCTGTCGTAGGCTTTCTCCATATCTAGCTCGATAATAACATTACCACCATAATTCATGTGGTTGATATTCTGAGTGATCTCTTGCACAAGTAGAATATTTTCAGTGATAGATCTTCCTTTGAACACTACTAAAAAATCAGGTTTTTAGCGACGGACAAATTTTGTAGCTAAACAAAAAATTCCATCGCTAATCTCATTTAGCGACGGATTAGCAAGAAATTCTGCTAGCTACGAGCGTTTTAGCAACAGATTAGCGATGACGTTCGTAGCTAATTCAATTTTTTTGTAGTGGAAAAAACCACTTTGATTCTCTGAGATGAACTTATGAAGCATAGGGTTAAGTCTTCTTGAAAGGATTTTGGAGATGATCTTGGCAGTGAAATTGCCTAGACTGATAGGTTTAAGCTCAGAAAAATTGTTAGGAGACTCCACTTTAGGAAGCAGGACAAGGCAGGTATGTGAAAAAAATTTGGACAGCCTATTCCCATTGAAAACCTCTTGAACAAATCAGTAATATCATTTTTGATAATATCCCAGTATTTATAGAAAAAGGTGCCATTGAAACCATCAGGGCCCTGCTGCACTTGTAGCTCCCATATCAAAGACAGCATCTCTGATTTCACCAGTATTAGGAATGGCAGTGGAAGTTCTATTGTCCTCATTTGTGATTCTTTGAGGGATGCATTCAAGAATTTAAATTTCTCTGAATTGGTTATTGATGTTGAATCTCTTATGGAAGTG